AGAGTTGAATACTTCCTCTCCAAAAACTAAAGCAGATGATACAGTATCTTATCTATCCCCACCCATTTTATTTTTTTAAATGCTCACTTTTCCACCCTTTTCACTAAACAGATACAGGAACACAGATGAAGAGGATCTCTTTTAGATTGTGTTGGTGAACTACACATGATAAACATTAACACGCTGTTTGTTCTGAATACGTATGGAAGTAGAGCTGCCCATTCTTGGGGTTTACTTTCTAAGTTCAACAATCCATAAATTGTCTTTTTTTTTTTCTTTTTTGACTCTGTTTAGAATTACCAAGATTTTCTTTCATCAAGCAAGTATTATCTCTAAAAGAGACAATATTAGAACAAACTTGATTGAAACATCTTCATCCATGACGTTCGTTACCTCCTACAAGCCTTGTGTGCGAAGTGAACTGAATGTCAGATGATGTCATTTTCAGTTCTTGTTTATGATGTATGGCAGAACAAGTTGAAGGGCGAGGACCTCAACTCTACAGTTCCTGCACCAGCTAAATAACCAGAACAGCATGAAATGCAAGAAATAAAAATAATTTCAAGGGTTTCTATGCTTAGGGTGTTAAGAAGCATACACACTTGTGCTAATGGCTTAGATGTATAATTACTTTGTACTTTTTAAATTCTATCATGTTTGCATAAAGCAGGTTATTACATAGCAAAAAATTTCAGTGACAAAAGACTCTTCAGTGACAAATGAAAACAGAAATATTGCCTACAGCTTATTTATTGTTAGTTGCAAGAAAGCTAATCGAGGGAAAGGAAAAACAAATTTTTTTCTGAATGAAAGTACATAGCCACTGTCTAGACTTCTGAGATTTTCACTTCTCAAAGAAAAAAGTGTAACTTAACTAAAATATTCAAACTGTACTGCATTTATATTCAGTAATTAAGTCACTGTTATTATCCCGCCCTGTATCAGAAATGAAACAAAAGAGAATAATCTTTAGTCCAGAAAGCCTTGGCAGCTTATTGCTTGTTAAAATAAGAAAATGAGCCAGATATCTGCCTTATTTTTTCTTTTAATTATCTAGATACCAATATCTTACTATCATTTCTTCTTCTTGAGGTCCTAAACTGACAATGGAGCTTTTGTGCAAAACTGAACACTTGAATTTATCTGCCCTTCAGTATTAGGGTTAGAGTCGAATTCTGGCAGAGAACTGAGCATGATATTGCAAATCTCAGTTAAACATGCATTCTAATAAAATTTAGAATTATGAACAGCCTATTTATTCCAAATTCCCTGAAAAATGACAGTTCCTATTCGTAACCTTACTTCTAATTGTATGTTTTACCTCCATCATGTACCAGAAAACTTTCCAGCAGTAATCAAAATGACTGTAAATCAACACTGCAACATTAAAAAAAAGACACATCTGCAACAGTTACAGCAATAAGCTGTTTGACCAGAAGTTTATCCAGACAGTGTACTATCTCCAGTCAAGCTAATCAAAATCACTGTTGTCCTGAAGAACAAGAAGGCCAAGGACTTCATCCACGCCTTCAGGTTCACCACCGACATCCAGGCCACAGTGACAATACTGGCTTTGGATTTCACAAGCACAAAATTTTTTTAGTTCACCTAAATCCAGCAATGGAATTTCTGCCTTCTTCATTAAGCTCTTCTTCACAGAATCAGACCAACCACTCCTCTTTAAGCAAAACTACAGTAATACCATTACCATTTGAAGCTGAGAACCATCTTACAGGAAAAGTTTAAAATTAACACAAGACCATCTTACCACATATTAAAGAGATCACAAACTGCCATGATGAAAAGTCAATCATGAAATAGTAGACTGTCAAACTGTTACTGTAGGAAGCAGGACTGAATAAAATATTTTGGAAACTAAATTACAGTAACTGGACTGCAAGGTGTTGAACAACCAAGTAAAAGAATTATCAAAGATATACCTGGCGAATGTCATTCTACAGGTAGCTTTGTCACTGTACCGTTAATTACTTCAGTTACCTATATCAGCTTCACTTACACTAACTCAAGCAATACTAACATAAGGCATTATCCCTCAAGCACACTACAAAAACAATGTTAGCCTCTCCAAAGCCGTAAGTATTTCTACAAACTCTAGCTCAATGTTTTTTGTTAAACTATTTAGATTCCCATGCTGATGTGTAGTCTAGGAAAGGACACATTCTCAAAAGCTCCCAGGGAATTCTAGGAGAACTTTAAATCCTCTGCCATAACTAACTGCCAGTTCCATTAGTCTGTCCTCAACTAAACCTACAATGAGATTAAAATAACTGCTAAATCACTGTAGCCTCCCTGTGAACATACACACTATTATTCCTTTGTTTTATTATTTTAAATCATTGTGAGCTGCTGGTAACACCTGCTAAGTACTGCTTCAACATCTGTTTGCTTTTTTTTTTTTTTTTTTGACTCTGAATGCAACACGGAGTAGAGATTGCATCATATCAACAACACTGCCTTAAAATGGCTGTTTTAAAATGGCAAAGACTGAAAATTTAACAGTAGAAAGTTAAAAACATCTGTTTAGTGAAAAGACACTTATGTCTCTTGACAAAAACTATATTGATGCCAGAAAAACCACAACAGAAAGCTAGTACCATAGCTGATAAACCTCTCTCCATTGGCACTAGAAATCCAAACGTTTTGGAAGGTCACCATGGACCACCAGATGCAGAGGCACAGAATTAGGGATTGCTTCCAGAAGGAAAGCAGCTATCATGCTGCAAGGCACATTAATTTAATTCTGACAGCTTTATGTACTATGACCTGTGGAACTTGCTTATCCTGTCTATAGCTGAACAGCCTCTTGCTCACATCTACAGAATGTACAACCATCAGTTGCAGATGCATTCCCACAGGAACCTAAAACATTAAACTTTTTACCCTCATAGAGAAAGGTTTCCCAGCTCTGCTAGGAAACTTAAAATTTTATAATCCATGCTGGTTTCTACCTAGGTGTGCTCCTTATATTCATCCTGCCACTTTCCTTCACAGGAAGAGTTAAAAGAAATTCAGACCAGTGTTATTTGTATTAAAAAACATGCTCAAGAATAAGTATGCACAAGAGCCTGAAAGACAGATAACAGATGGTCTAAAACAAAAGCAAAGCAAAGAGCAGGCTCCAAGTGCATATTTTGACAATAAATTGATCAAGTTGCTAAGGCAATGGATTTCATGAGGTGCAACAGCTAACTAAATTCCAGTTAATAAAGTAGGTACAGAAGACATCACACTTCTTACTCTCCTTTAAGAGTAAAAATTGATCCTGCTTTACAATATTAACGTCATTAATGTTAGCATCTTAACTAAGACCAGGAGGTGACCTGCCCTCCCAACCTGCTAATCATTCTACTGCCCCCACTGTTCTTTGCATTGTGGATTATCTATGGGCGCCCAACCTGGACTCTTCACAGACAAAACTAAACTGGAACACTTATTCCAAGGATACACCTAACACATGCCAGCTTTTATTGGTCATTCATTCAAAGAACCAAACAAACTAGTCTCCAGAACACACACACACAGTATGAACACTAAGTCTTCAACAATGTCTCCACCTACAGATTTGCTCCTATCATGCCACTATACTTGCTAAAACAGACATAGCTAAAATTACCAAGGTAGAACGTAAACTTCTCCCTACACTATTTGACTAACAGGGGAAAATGACAATCCTGTACAAAGAAACAAATAAAGCAGACAACTAAACTGTATCAGAGGTACAGTGAATAAGTAATAAAAGCCTTGTCATTTGGACTCTATTGAGATTCCCTCACTGTGATGTTGGCATGCCAAGGAAATGGAAGAAACAGCAGGTATAATACACAGGATAAATAAAAGCGTGTAAACCCAAGCAAAGTTTAAATTAGCCACAAAACACGATTCCTTCCTTTAGACAAAACTCAACTGCAATACAGACTCTGTTCCAACTTATGCTCCATTAAAAAGAAGAACAAGGTGACTAATTTGGTCAGCAAAGAAACAGCAGAAACTTTAGTTTTCCAACCTTTCATTTGAAAACATCAATTAAAATCATTCTCTCCTTCTCATAAGTGCGCTCCTTCTTTCCAATGCAAAGTGTGACTTGGAACAGTTTTCCAACAGTAGTCAGTTTTTATTCAGACACTTTTACAATGCTTATGTTTTCTTACCATTGTTTTAGATGTTAAATAAACATTACTTAAGTCAGTCTCACTAAAGCACAAGAACAGTGCTCTCATTTTATTTTTTGCTGCGAGCAAATTGTAAGAACAAAGCAATACCAGTTATAGCTAGTACATAAGAGTTCTAGGTAAATACAGTGCTGGCTACAAAAAAAAGAGCAAGCCAAGGAAAGCAGCAAAAAAAATTGGAAGCGTCTGTATGAATGTTCCAAACATACAGCTTAGTTCATTGAATCTCTCCTGCTTTCATTTCTACACAGCAGTTACTTAGCATTTTTAAGCAGATTTATCACATAACAGCTGTCTTGATATCTTCCACCATGAAAACAGCAGAACGCCCACCTAAAGTGGCTCATGTTAATAACTTCATTCTTACTTGTCTTGACACCATATTGCCAAATGCTTTACAGAGAAGGAAGTACAAACTGAACAGCAAAAGGACTCCATTAGCACACAGCAAGACCATCTCAAATGGAGACTGACAACCTAAAGCTTGTGTCCAAATGTGCCTGGCTTCTGTTTCTGCACAGCCTGAAATGATATTCAGACTTTTAGGAAAGATGATATCTTACTCAAACTGCTGTGTTTTATTTCCTCTAACCTTCTCTTACCTGATCATTTAATGGAGGCTCAGTGTGGAAAAAACACCAGAATTTCCAATTCTCTTCACAAAGCACATAACTTGCTTGCTTAAAATCAATTTTATAATACAAAAACAACTGTACCACTGCTTTGCTATCTACAAGTAAAACAAACTGCTGATAACGTTCAAGGCAATGGAAATTAGCTGCAGCTTATTCACAAAACCAAAACACTCACCTGCTGGTTTCCCAGTCTTGATCATCCTTATCTTTTTCTTCTTTGGTGTCAGAACTGTGTGGGTGTTTCTGCACAATCCGCATCCCACCCGCTTTAACTGGAACAGAAATGAGAAAGACAAAACCTCACTTAAACCAGCACAAGTGAATAACAAATGCTTTATTGATGACCTCTCCATACACAGTATTTTGCAGAGTAACTTATAACAACCACTGTTTGAAAAAGGGGCCCAAACTCTTTAACAGAAGCAAATCTGAGAAGCATCTACTTCAGGACTGCATCTGTCATTCTCATTCACATCATGCCATCTTTGCTCATCCTGAGAAGCCGCATTTCATTTCACCACCTGCTTCCAACACTGTTTCAGAATATTCAAGTCTGTTTTAACTCTCCCCCTACCTCTGTTAACTTGTAGTACTCAGAAGAAATTGAGGCAACGGCTTGCATAATAGTATCCTAAAGGCCACAAACTTTAAATACTCCCATAAAACAAGATGGGCAGAAGAACCTAATTTGTCACTTTAAGTCAGAAATTCAATTCAAATATTATAGTGGTAATATTTATTTAAAAAAAAATCATAAACAGTAGAGTAAAAAGCAAGTTTTAGGAAGACTCAATTTGCATTAATAGAGCTTTTTACTTTGCAAGGCCATCATTACCACATTTCAAATCCTTGTCATGTTTCAGTTTTAGAAATGACATAATCACAAAATGCATCCCTTTGAAATACGGATTGAGAAGTGAAAGCAAATCCACTTACATTCACATTTTCCCCTACCCGTGTGAAATATGAAATAAGATCTAAACCCAGACTGTAACACTGCAGCAACTAAGGAGAGCAACATACTGGGTTCTTCTGATGGACTTTCTGTTTTAATACTGTAGGTTTCTCTCTGCTTCAGCAATTGCTCTGCGTGCTTAAATCAAACATGGGACATCATCACAGAATGGTATGCATTGGAAGGGACCTTTAAGATCACCTAGTTCCCAACCCCCTGCTACAGGCAGTGACACCTCCCTCAGGCCAGGTTGCTCAAAGCCCCATCCAGTCTGGCCTTGAGTGCTTCCAGGGAGGGGGCATTCACAACCTCACTGGGCAACCTGCTCCAGTGACTCACTACCCTCACGGTAAAGAATTTCTTCCTGATATCTAGTATAAATCTACCCTCTTCCAGTTTAAAACCATTTCCCCTCATCCTTTTGCTACGTGCCCTTACAAAAAAGCCCCTTCTCAGCTTTCCTGTAGTTCCCTTCAGGAACTGGAAGGCCCCTATAAAGTCCCTCAGGGCTTTCTCTTCTGAAGAGCCCCAGCTCTCTCAGCCTATCCCTGTAGGGGAGGTGCTCCAGCACCTCTGATCATCTTTGTGGCTCTCCTCTGGAACTACTCCAACAGCTCCATGTCCTTCTTGTGTTGGGGTCTCCAGAACTGGACACAGTACTCCAGGTGGTGTCTCATGAGAGCAGAGCAGAAGGCCAGAATTGCCTCCCTTGACCTGCTGGTCGCACCTCTCTTGGTGTAACCCAGGATACAGTTGGCCTTCTGGGCTGCAAGCGCACAGTGCTAGCTCATGCTTAATCTTTCATCAACTGTCAGCCCTAAATCCTTCTCCTCAGGGCTGCTCTCAAGCCATCCTCTTCCCAACCTGCATCCTTACCTGGATATAAGAGGATGCATCACAACAAACTGGAAGAGTTCCATTCCAATCAGTAACCACTACAGCAGTCAACAAGAAAACCTACAGACAGGCTAATTTGTTCTCCTTGTTTACACAAGTGGAAGGTCCATGGGCAGCTTCAGAGATGGCACACTGTGAGCACAGTGCCAGGGCACGTGCATGGGTGATTCGAAGGGAGCTGAAGCAGCTTGCTGCTGTGGTTAGGGCAGGCTGGGACTTCTGACAGCTCCTTGCTACCCACCTCACAGAGATTAAGGCTCAGTGGCTCAGTGTGAATCTATGAAGACTAGGAATAGGGCAAGCTCTTAGTTCTTAACTTAATTCTTCAGAGTATCAATGAATCACACACTCCTGCGCTTAAGTTTTACAGCCTACATTGGGGAAGGCAGAGACAGTAACCACCCCCAAGGAAGAGTGTATATTAGGTCCTTGGATTTGTTAAATAGATTTTTAAGTTTCATGTAATATTTGAAAGATATAATTTTGATTTGATAAATGACATTAAAGACAAGCAACCAACAGAAAAATAACGAACAAAATATCTTTTACAAACCTTCAAAACCATGTCCACTTATTGTCCAATAACAAAATACACAGCATATTCACCGTTTTTATGTTGTCTCCAGAATAGAACTAAAATATTTTAACACGTAAGACATGTTTCACGTGGGACAGGGAACAACAGAAAGATTAGGTAACATATATAGGTAGTGTTAAAGATGGAACAAAAATAAAAAGTCCTCCATTTTTTCTAGATGTAAACTCCTTAGAAACTCAAGTCTATTCATAAAAGTAAACACTCTGAGTCCTATCAAGCACTGTCTTGCTCTAACATCATGATTTTACTTAGTTAATCAAAGTCTACAAGCTAGAATAAGACCCAGCTAAATTGCTGACACCAAATTTCTGAAAGCCTAACATCCTTTCTTGCAGCACTCACTCTGCTTTACCTTCATTATTTCTTTTAACAGTAACATTTAAACCTAGTCTCACTGCATAATCAGACCCTTTTAACTCCATTTCAAATTCTTTTTTTGTAGAGGATGCTACCACCCATCTGCCAGGTCACAAACAGCATTTCTGGACAATGTTTCCACGCTGCAGCTTTTCACATCTAATAAAGAACCAGGTGTAACAATACCCAAGGATTTAGCTGGTCTAAAACACCTCTTCTCTTCCTTTATATATCATCAGTCTGGCAGCCACTTGTTTTCTTTCAGCTGACATTGGCAAGGATATCCAGCTAACATATTCAGCTCCTTCTGCAGGTAGTTATCATTTGAATTTCTGAAAGCAAAAGTGAAATATTCACCCCAGCCTCCTGTACATGCAGCTGAGCTACATCTATGCCAGCCATGATACAACACAGTAATACCTAAACTAGTTTCAAAAGACTTGAGAAGGAGTATCTTCACACCACAATTCATCTCCCTTTTCAAAAGATTTCAACCCAGCAACACACCAGCGTGGACAGAGAAGAAATGATTATATGCCCAAACATGAAGGAAAAATACTCAATTTGTGAGATTTTCTTGGATTAAGAGGATTCATCTATTTCCTACTTGCCTAGATTTTAATACAATGGCTGGACAAATGCTTTCCACAGTGATTCTGTCAGTTAAAAACTATTCTTAATAGAATATGAGCTCAGATTCTTCGTAGAGTGGAAAAAGGACTTAAATAACTGAGAAACCACCTTCCAGAACATTGGCAGGAATACATGCCCCAAACAGGAAGGTACCAGCAATCGCCCTGGGATCAGGAACAAAACACTTCCCGTACTGAGACGGGTAATTCTGCAAACCTCAGTCTGCAATGCTGCTGGCACGGGGTCCCTGTGAGGGCAGGGGACCAGGGAATGGCTGCTGTGGAGTTGATGAGGTACCATCATCTTTCACAGCGTGAAATGAAAAGGGCTCACCTGCCAGCAAACTCTGGGATCAGAGCAGAAAGGTCCATTTGTCCAGTTACTGGATAAGAGATAGTTTTTAGTTATTAGTTGGTTTGCTCTGAGCTGCAGACAGGACTGCCTTGTTTATCCTATGAATGAAGCCTGCATTCTTCTTATGGGTACAGCTACTCCGGACACCTCCCAGAAATGCACTAAGCAACCTGCTTCATATTCAAGGTGACCTGGAATCAGCAAGCATTCTTACTTAAACTTCCCTCCCACTGCCACGCTCCTAGACTTTCAAAATAAATCACACCAGGCCAGAAAGCACCAGGCACCTGCAGAAACATTGCAACTGAGCTACCGCTCTGACCACAGCTCATTCAGATGGGCAGTGTGTAACTTCATGGCCTAGGGCAGCCCTCTGTGGGCACACCTTCTGGTTCAGGTGAAATAATCCCATTCAGAGCCTCTAGAAATCAACAGCTTAGCCAAGATCTTCAGCTCCTTCCTGTTCACCTTGAGTGTAGTGCTAAATACTAGTAATTTATTTCTCATGAACCACATCAGTATAATGGAAGCTGTTACCGTAAGATGTATGAAAACCCAAGACCAAGAGAAACCTTAAGCAAGCCCTTTTGCATGCTTAAGGGAACAAACATTAGCATCTGACAAAACAATGGAAGTAAGAGTTATTATATACCTTAATTTCATAGAAATCCTGGCTTAGAGCTATTTTTTTCTAATGCAGAACTAAAGCACATCACTATTTTCATGAATCCACTGTAAAGCTTCATAAATAAACTATTACCACAATCACCTTGCTTTACTCATTCACAGTAGTTATTGGAAGAAATGAACAACTAAAAGCGTAATTACACAGCCCTTTTCAGCTGCTGCAAGCCATACAAACCTACACAGCATTGTATTACAGACGCATTGATCTCACTGACAGATATATATGAGGGCCTCAACTTAAGCTTTATTAAGTTTCAGAAAGGAGTTCAAAGCCACTTCGTGTACCCTGTTACCAACCTGAGGTCTTAAGGTTTCTATTTCATTATCCTTTCTTTTTTTCAAGTGTTTTTCTTGTCTTTTTTGTTTTACCTATGGGAAAAGATCAATGCAGAGAGGAAGCTAGCAGACTGCATGCAGTCAGCGAGGGCTCACAGTGCACATGAAATATAATCAGTTTGTCAATTCAGCTTCAATTTCATGATCCAAATCCTTCCTAACTTTTATGCATGTGATTCATACTCAATGGTATTGATTACAGATACAACCATACGCAGCAAATACAAAGCTTTCAAGCTGTTAGTCAATGCTTGCCTAAGAACTAGCCTATTTATTTAAGAACACTATTCAAATTGCCTACAGGTTATTCTTTCATTTTTATTTTTTATTTTTGAAGAATTCCTGACTTATTAAAACCTCTGTGCAAACAGCCATATGGCATTACATTATTATTCAAGGATCTAAAACAGCTTGGGATAGAGGATTAAAACCTAGCTTCAGCCTCTACAGTAAATATGAATTGCCATTAGTCAGCATGTTCATCATGGATTTTCAAAGCATTCAAAGGACAACACATCAGAAGCACTCTCCTTTGACAATCAGTTCAGAACCATCCTCTTCCTGGGATGACTCGAAGATTCTGTAAAACATCCGTTTCCCTCATCTCATAGAGGGACTTGGCATTCCCCATCCAAAGCTGAATTGGTGCACACTCACAGGACACCCTCAGGGTTGCTAAAGATCTTAAATGGTAAACAGCTGAACAAGCTCTTCAGCTCATATGTGGATGCACATCTTACAAAGGGAGAAGATACTGAAACACTCTGACAGCAAGGAAAACCTGTTGTACTCCATTTACAGTTTTGCACTGTGCATCGTTATTTTTAAGCTGGCCTATGGAGATTTTTAAATAACAAACCATTGATTCAGAACACAGGCTTTGAAACAAAACCATCAAATAAGCAACAATATAAAAAAATATAACTACAAGGCAGCTAGCTGGAAATGTCTACCAGTCTTCCTTCTTCCCCTTTCTGCTGATGGGTTAGGTGTGTCTTCTTGTTGCACCAATCTAACATCTCAGTATTTCTTTTATCCTGAAGCAAACATTCATTTACATCATCTCAAGGAGACAGAATTTCAAGAGCAATAGCTTCCACTGCTTGAATGAGCTCACCATGAGATCTAACTAGCCATGGAGGTGTTCAAGGCCAGGTTGGATGGGACCCTGGGCAGCCTGATCTGGTGGATGTAAACTGTGCCCCCGACAGGGGGCTGGAGCAGGATGAGCTTTAAGGTTCCTTCCAACCCACACCTTTCTATCATTCTGTGAACTCTGATGAATTTCAGCATTTCTGACTGAAACACCTGAAAAACTATTCCACTAGGAAGCACTGGAAGACATAAGAAAAGCCTGTGGAGCAATGACTGAAATCCCCATTTTAATATTGTAATCAAGATGAAGAAAAATGAGCAGAGTGTGAAAGAACAACACTATGAGCAACGGGCCCTCGCTGCACACAGCAGCTCCCATCCATGGTTGGTGACGGATCTATGCAACACCAAAGCTATGACTCAGCTCAGCCTGTGCCCCACCACTGCTCTGCTTTGAACAAGCAGCACTGGGTGGAAACTGCCAGAACAGCCTCAGCCAGCGAGCGTCTTGTTCTGCCTCCTTCCCTACTCATCTCTAGAACTAAAGCTCATCACTGTGTAGCTTCAATCACCTCAACCTAATGCAGCACCAGAACCACTGTGCACACACACACAAAAAAGGATGTAAGGAGCAAACTGAGCTCCTGGTTTGTATTTCCACTTGGCATGCAGGGCCTCGCAGATGGCAGGGCATGCTGTTATTAACTCAGGCTGCTTGTTCCCCCTCCTGTGCAGGCAGGGCACCTCTGTCAGTCCTGGGGCTGCTCGCAGACCATCTTCACCTTTCAAGGACAACACACACTCACGGATGAGCACCCAGGTCAGAATGTGAAAGTGTCAAAAGCAGCAGCGACCAGGCCTGAAAGCATGTGCAAGCAGAGAGCTTTTCAGCTAAGAATGAATAAGAGGAAGGCACAGGGGAAGAGCAGCCTCTGTCGCTGCGGAAGGAAAGCTGCCAGAAAGCCAGCGAACGGCTCGGGAACGAATGGCAAGCTGCTGGCCGAGACCCGGACAGGGCACACACACGCTTCCACGTCCTAGGACACAGCAGGGGACGGAGGCCGGCGAGCTGGCGACCTTCTCAACAGGCAAACACGGAGAGCAAACAGGTTCAGCCTTGAACCTCCTGCCTGCGGACTTCGCTACGCGGCTACGCGGCTACGTGGCGCCGGAGCCCTTCGCGGGCCGAGCAGCCGCCTGCCTGCCTCCCTCCTTCCCCCCCACCCCTGCCGCGGAGAGCCCGCTGGGCCAGGGCACGGGAGAGGCCACCTGGGCCCAACCCGGCCGGGTGTCGCCCCGTTGCCGGGCGCGGTGCGTCCCTCCGGGCCTCCCCGTTCTTCCACCGCCGCCGCCCCGGCCCTCCCCGAGGCCCGCCCCGAAGGCCGTAAGAAAAAAAGCGGAGAGACGGGACCCGGCGGCAGTACCAGCAGGAGGGTGTCCGGCCCGAGTCTCGGCTTTCTCTTTAGGAGGCGAAGACATGTTTACCCTGACAGCGCCCGCACGAGCGCGCCCACACCCCGCTCCCGCCGCCAGCACCGCCTGCCGCCCGCCCTGTCAACGTGGCCGCCCGCCGCCGCCAGGACGCGCCCAGAGAGGGTGGGGGTGGCCGCGGGTCCGCCCTGTCTGCTCTGGCCGCGGGGCGCGGCGCGGAGCAGAGGTGGCGCAGAGCCCGGACTTCCACCCGCAGCACGGCGTGCACCCGGGCGTTAAGTTCCGCTCCTCGGCGTGGAGCGTGTTGCCAAACCACCGCCGCGCTGAAGTCGGCCCGTTGTTTTTTGGTTTTTTTTTTTTCTTCTCCCCTAAGCAATATGAAGGCGTTTTATGCAACTGGTGCCAGCAACAGGCTGCCTTTAAGAATTGTAACAATCAACTGCATTACCAGCAAATTGCAAACGCTATGTGGTGGTTTGGTTCTCTTTCATAATTTGAGATAAGGAACAGGAGCATAGAATCATTAAGTTTGGAAAAGACCACTAAGGTCATCCAGACGATCCACCAACCCAGAGCCCATGCGCCTAACCACGTCCCTCAGAGCCACACCTACACGTTTCTTGAACACCTGCAGGGGGAGCGACTCCACCATGTCCTTGGGCAGCCTGTGCCACTGCCGCACCACTCTATCCGAGAATTTTTTTCCTAATATCCAACCTCAGTCTCCTTTTGCACAACTGAAGGACACTCCGTCTTGTCCTGTCACTGGTTGCCTGGGAAAAGAGGCCAAACTTCACATGGCCACAGGTCTCCCCGACCCTCCATTCAGTCTGAACAATCCCAGCTCCCTCACCTGTTCCATGTAAGACTTGTGCTCCAGACCCTTCACCAGCTTTGTTGCCCATCTCTGGATACATTCCAGGGCCTTGATGTCTTGTGAGGGGCCCAAAACTGAACACAGTACTCAAAGTGCAGCCTCACCAGTGCTGAGTATAGAGAGATGATCACCTCCCTGGTCCTGCTAACTACACTGTTTCACTAATACAAGCCAGGATGCCATTGGCCGGCCTTCTTGGCCACCTGGGTACACTGCTGGCTCATGTTCAGATGGCCATCAACTAACACCCAAGATCCTTTTCCTCTATGCAGTTTGCCAGCCACTGTGCCCGAAGCCTGTAGAGCTGAATGTGAGTCCCTAGAAACTGAGCTTATGATGGTTGCGGTTGAACCTCCCAAGAGTGCCGTAGCAGTACTCCATCCCAGTTATGTTACAGGGAAATTAATGTAGCTATGTGACGTAGCATACTCTACTTACTTGCAGTCAATCTTTCTAACAAATATTACCATTGCCAAAACATAAGTGATGGGGAATGACATGGGTTTTTTTGGCAACTGATCAAAATAGAATCACAACACAGTATCCTTAACAGTCTGAATAAACAAATGCTGTCAAAATGCTGTAAATAAGTTGTTGAATTTTGCTGCTGGGTAATTTTATTTTCTTACATGTACAGTACTTTGAAGTTTCAGATTATGTTTTCAGTTCTGCCACCTGTGTAGCCTAATACGAGTTACTCCAGTTCACCTTCCAGTCTCTGTCAAAGTCTATTCAGATTTTCTTTATTTTCTAGAGTACAATTATCTCCTAAATGAGATTATAAGGTTTCCTCATCTACTTTTCTCTTGATTTGAATGAAAAGATTACATTTTGGTTATTCTTGGTTTTTCGAGGTATGCTTGGCTTGAAATTCCCACTGCTGCTTATAGCAGTCAGTATGAATCTTTGCTTTTGAAGGTTTCATGTAAACCAGCTATTATAGAATGGGAATTCAAGATAACATGCTTTATGACATAAAAAAAAAAAAAAAAAAAAAAAAAAAAGCAATTCAAAGTAATGCGTTTTTTTGTTTTGTTTTTTGTTTTTTGTTTTTCCTCTGAGAATCAGTAATACTGATAGGTACTGATACGACGAGGGAAATAGTTTTAAACAAAAAGAAGGGAGATTTAGATTTGATGTTGGGGAAATTTTTCACTGAGAGGGTGGTGAGGTGCTGGAACAGGCTGCCCAGAGAGGTTGTCTCTGGAGGTGTTCAAGGCCAGGCTGGATGGGACCCTGGCAGAGCAATTGATTTCTTGCCAAATCTAAGGTAGTGGCATTCCTTCTGCTAGGGATGTTGCCCTAATATTAGCAACAATATCCTTCTTGATTATGCTGACTTGCATATAGAGGTTAGTAGTAGACATTAAAAAGATGAGAGTGGTCAGTCTCTGTCATTTCTAACAGCCTTGTTATTTCTACCAGAACGCATAGAGTATGACATCTATGGGCAACTGCAGAGGAAAACAGTCAAAACATTTACAAAATGTGGGCAGCTTCCCTCACCAGGTCCGCCGTACCTGGTGTTGACATCTAGATCTTAGAAACTGGAACGAAGACAAGTCTCAACTGGAAAACCAGTAAATGAGACCATCACAGGACATGGCACTGAAGTGCAAAGGCACTGTGAGGGAAGAGTATATAAATCAGACTGTTTAGAATATATAAGAGCTGTTCTGAAGACCAGCATTTCTTTTAGAATAAGAGCATTTCGGTGAAAGGTTCCACAGAACACCTCTTCAATTCATCGATAAGTGTTTCTAAAAGAAATATCAAGCATCTGCAGCAACATCCAGGGCAGCCAAGAAAGAGCATTTTCCAGCTACTACTAATTTTAGCTAAAATAACAAGCAGAAATAAGCTACTTCTCTTCTGGTAATGGTAGAGGCAAAACCCCACCTTTCCATGTTCCATCCCACATTTAAAAAAATAATTGAAAAATAGGAAAAAGCCCTTTACAGATTTTAAAGGCTAAGTTTAAAACAAAAACAACACATGAAGAGATTGGATAGGAGAGCATACTAAGGCATGCTTACAGATGCTATTTTCAGTTGCACTTGGCCCTTCACAAGACTTCTGACAATAATAGTAGGTTCTTATTTGTGTGCTCTATAGCCCAACGTATGTTCAGCAGTCTATTTTAAAAATAGGCAGTCTGTTGAACTGTGATTAGAACACTATTTATGTCTGTTTTGAAACTAGTCCACAGTACTTAGCAGATGGATACAAATTGTTGTGCCTTCACTTGGGCCTGCAGCAAAGCTTCGTGTTCTTTCTGAAAATGTTAAAACATGTAGAAAAGCCTTTACTGGGTTTGGGTCAATGGGAAATTACAGCAGTGCAATCTAGAGTCACTCAGTGCTCAAAAGGCAGATAAATACTTTGCTAGAACCCTCTGAACCTCTCCCATCATCTCCAGCACACATATGCACTTGTATGCTGTAAACCCTGGGGAGCATGATAAATTGCTTTCACTTATAGGATGGGCAAGACTCTTTATTGAATAGGCTTTTGCCCAATTCCTAGATAAGTATAAGGTCAGTGAAAATAACTCACTGACTTTGATATACATCCAAAATAGTTTCACCTGAAAACAGTTGTTTTGAAAGCTGAGCTATTTCATTTTGATGTTTTAAGATTTTGCTATTTTTTTAAAGATTAAAGACCACTGAGAAACTTGACTGATTTTTCTCTTTTGTTCAGTCAGTTAATCAAAATATTAGTTCTCCATGTAGTTCTAATCTTCTATGATACTTTCAGGATAGCATGATAGTTTCTGATAAATGGCCAAAACAAACAAACAAACAAACAACAAAACAAAACAAGGGGTTTTCTTTGGATTTTTTTCCTTTGACCTTTGAGTTTGTAGATTTTTACTTGTATATGTCAGTAGCTGTTAATTAAAACAAAGGGTTTGCCATCTGATACAGTCATAACATGGGAAAATTCCACACTTTTCTACTTCAGTAGAAATACATGAAGCCTTTATTAAAAGCCCAATAATGGTCATATGAGGTTTGTCCACTGCTACTGTGCATTAAGAAAATGGTAAGGTTTTTAAGACTACAGCTTCTCAGGAAATCTGCAGAGATTTTGTGAACTACCGTTCAAAAACATGGTTTTGTTATAATGCACAGATGTGAGAAAGCAGTTTATGTAAAAAAAAAAAAAGCTAACAAATTTGGGGCAATGAGTTATGCATGCTTTTCCCCTCTTCCCTTCCTGACTTTTGCTGTATTGACTCAATGATCAAAATCACTTGGGATGCCACTGTTCACTGTTTTCTCCATACCTTGATGATATCATTGATTCCATATTGTTACTGCAGCTACACTGTTACTGTGACAAGAAGCACAAATTTATTTGTTTGCTGGATTTACTAACTCAGTTTTCCAAGGAAGCCTATATATTTCTTTTTCTTTAAAGTTAGAATAGGTCCCCACTGGGGCAAACAGAAATTTATAAGTGGTATAAGTTACTAAACTGAACCATAATGTAATTGAAAAACTCAAACTCTCTTTTATCTTACTTTTTTTATTAGATTTTCTTGGAAATGTTTTTGCTAAAATGTGTACAGCAGTCTATCTATCTCATCGGAAATGTGGAATAATGTTTTCATAAAGGAACACTGCAGCCTAATGTAGTTGCTCTTTTGTTATATTGTCAAAATGTTCAGACTTCTATGCTGTTATCAAACATGAAATCAGCACAAGAAGTCATTTTTTTCTGTGTGATGGATTACTGCTGAGATGCCAGTCAAATTTGGGTTTCTAGCAAGTGAAGAAGTTGTTCTGTATGCAGTTTTCACATAAGCATTCTGTTTTTCTGTAAGTAATTATCTTAGAATGATGCATGTACAACCAGCAGCCCATAATCTGCATGCAGCCTGGCACAGCTTGCACTGTGGCTGCCCTGTTCTATCATGGCAACAACTCCTCCCACCAAGCATCCCAGCTAGGGGAGAGCACCTATCGCTTCCCAACAACTAAACACCAATGCAATGTTGACCCTATCTGGGATGAAACCAGGGCACATGTTGCAGTGCAATGTTAACTCAAGTTATGGCAAATAGGTTTATAGATTTTGATACGTTGGCTAAACACAGTTCTGTGAAAAGCAAAAAATATGTAACCATGCTTTCTGTTTTGGTCAAGGAACTTGAGAACATATTTCAAGATTGAAAAAAAAAAATCATAACCTTTTCATCTATTTGCAATTCCATTTTCAATCAACATAAATACACAACCTGCACATTTTCAACTGGAATG